AGAGGAATATTTGGGTATGTTGAATGGCTAGATAGAGTAATACTTTTTTTTGTATGATATTTGATTTTTGGTTGTGTGTGTGTAGTTATAGAAACGTTTTATTTATTTTTCAAAGGATTAGAAGATGACACCAAAAAAATTGTGTTGCTTGTTAATGTCTAGCTTTAAGATTTTCCGAGGATATTTGGTTCACAGTTGATTTATTGGGCGCTGTGTCGGGTTTGCTTATTTTTTTTTGATTGGTTGACATATTTGATTTCCGTGTAACTATACAGTAATATTATTTTGGACTTTGGTGACCCTTGACTGTTGATATTGTCCTTTGTTGGGCTTTGTCCGCAGTTGATAGGTCTGTATGTTGCGTCGTCTTGAATTAGTGACATTTCGCCCCTAAATAGCTGAGTTAGTTCGGTCGATTGTCTGGGATGGATAATCACCAAACATAAAGAGTCAGGTGCTGATTTTTTTGTCCTGGCCTTTCTGCTCATAGTTTTTCTTTACTTTTATCGTGGAAGGTGTTTTTACGTATTGTTGAACTGGGTGGTATGGTAGGAGTAAGAGGGTAGGAGGCTGGGTAGAGGGAGTAGGTGTTATGTTTCTTAGAAGGATTACTCGAAAGGACAGGTTGCGAATACTGGCCCTGAGACAAGGTTGAACTTGAGACGTCACCACCTAATACCAATTGAAGATTGGAGGAAGAAGCAGATATTTAAGGTGGTACGTATACTGACCTTCTCCTTTCCCAAACCGTAGGTCTAATCACAGTGTTGAACTTTCGTGCAAAATATGGTTTCGGCAAGACATTGTCTGTTGGTTTTGTTCTATTATCCCTTTCTGGTATGCTACAAGCGGAGTTTGGAAGTTAAAGTGTTTGGCCTTGAGTGTTTATGGGTTGGGCATTTTTTACCTTAGACAAACGAATGCATGTCATTCCGAACTCTCGAGCAAAGAAGCCATCGTTACGGATGCATCAGGTTTTCATTGAACGGCCAGTGACCATTTTTTTATAATTGGGTGCGTCGGTAGTGGATGGACTTGGCAGAGAAATGGTGCAATATCAGTGACTGCATCCTCGTTAATGCTTAGTGGTTTGCAAAAGCGGCAATCTCCTGTTTGTTTGTTGGTGTTGTGTTGTGTTTCTTGTGTGTTGTTATGCCGGGGCAGATGTTGATTGTATAAATTAAGGAGAGAAGTAGAATATTAGAGGGCCTGATCCTTAAAACTGAACTAAGGCAAAGTTGTGTGAGATCTTTTGAAATGGAAGTACTCATGGGTCATCAATTATACTTTGTGCTAAAATAATGGCGTACAGGCTTTAATGTGTTTTATCACGATGACCTGAAAATATACTTTCAGTAACGTTTTTATGGAAGTTGCACTTTAAATAAATTGTGATGGGGGTGCTGATAGACATTTTCGTCCTGAGTGCTTGTTTTGTATTGAGTCGGGGTCTAGTGTTTGCCACACATCTTTTTAACTTTTGTTTGGGTGGGGATACCGAGCCCTTTTGCCCTAGCCTATTTTTGTGCATGGCTTGAGGTATTTGGAATGACTGGAGGATGGATTTGGGGGCCATCCTGCGTGGGATTTCCGTTTTGGTTCATATTGAAGAGGAACGTAGGAATATTAATTATAGGGACTGTTGTGGTGTTGAGTTTAGAGCAAGCTTTTTCAAGTAATGCCGATAAAATTTCTACATATTATTGGGGATATACCTAGATTCATTAATAGTGGGGTCATACTTGCAATGAGTATTTAGTTTCTTCAATCCGCGAAGGTGTTTTGGCATCATGCAATCAAAAAAAGCAAGGATGAGATGTTAGGGGCAATGGATCACTCTGCGAATATCTACAAATATATTCTCATGTAGTGATTTGTGAAATCAATGCTTCCGTTAAAGGGACCTTCACCCCATGGTGTCGATTTGCTTTGTTAATTCATTTTTAGGATAACCCAGTCATAAATTTTTTTGAAATGGTCGTGCAACTCGAATCTTTCCCTGGTTTCATATATTTTTTCTCCCTGAGAGGAGAATACGGATTCAGTTTCACTTGCGCGTGCTTTCTAATGATAGTAGTGTTTAAATTTGCGCATTGTGTTCACGATCTGGAAGCAGGAAAAGTTCTTGCCTCCCTCATCCCCCTCCGCCAATATTCCCGCTCTCATATATCTTTTGGAGAGGTGGTATGTGTGAGACTACAAACACTCTTTTCTCGGTCAAATAGGCACCAAATTCAAAATTTATGTTACATTTCGACTACATATATAACCCACTTTCAATAAAGATTAATGTTTCCACGGGTGAAGTGCTTCTTTAAGTGGTGCTCCATCATGACTAACAGCTGTTATTGTTATAGGTTCACTATGCAGCTTGTGGAGCACTAAAGAACATCTCATATGGCAAAGATGCAGACAACAAGATCGCCATCAAAAACTGTGACGGAGTGCCTGCTCTGGTCAGGCTGCTGAGAAAGACCCGCGACCAGGACCTCACTGACACTATCACAGGTTAGAGGCACATTGCAAACACAGTGTAAACATGACTTTTACTGGTAAGGAGCCAGGTAAAGATATTGGGCTACTAGACTGTACTATGGTCTGATTGCTTGGTTAAACTTGTGCCAAATGTCTTTTGTTAAGGTGATGTTTGACAAGAGTGGAAGTAGGCTTCATAATTAAATATGCATATATACATTGCTGCATTTTCTCCCCCAGGGACGCTGTGGAACTTATCGTCCCACGACTCTGTGAAAATGGAGATTGTGGATCACGCGCTGCACGCCCTCTCTGACGAGGTGATTGTACCTCATTCGGGATGGGAGAGAGGAAGCAACGGAGCAGGAGGAGGGGAAGAGAACTGCAAGCCCAGGCATCTTGAGTGGGAGACGGCCATCACCAATACAGCCGGCTGCCTGAGGTATGGAAGGATGATGATATGGAGGAGATGGAAGGAGGGAGGGTTCGAGTAGACAAGAGAGAAAAATGGAAACATGCCAGCTCAACAGACTGACAGAGCAGTGGGATGTATGAGGGAGGAGGAGAGCAATGACGAGTTAACAGAGCAGAATAGAAGGAAAAAGCCCATTATATTCAAACGTTTGTAATAAATGATGCACATGGTTTGTTCAAAGCAGAAGCCTTTTCTCTGATTACTAGCACATACTATAAACAGGATATCTCATTTCATTTTATATAGTGCTCATGAAAAGATTGTAGGGTTGAATGTCAGTTATTTATGAAAGAAAAAAACTGAGTTGCAGCCTCACAGTGAGTCTGTCAGATCAGGAGAGGGTGAAGAAGGGAATGTCAGAGTTGATAGGGAGGGGGCGAGCAGGGGACAGTGGGGCATTGACACATACAGTGTAAACACTGTGTTCTAGCCTGCCGGTCTGTTATCTATGCATTCCCCTTGACCACATGCTTAATTAACAGTGTTCATTTGTAGGTCTAGAAAAGTGTGTGTGAATAACTTGATAATCTTAAAAAGTTTGGTATTTGCACAAATGGTCTGGACAGTATCGTCTTAGTACACCACATGATTAGAGACTGGAGTTGAAGATCTTTACTGTCATTTAAAATATAGTATATTTTAGTTTCTTCCAGATACTAATAAAATGATTAAACACAATACTCTCCATGTCACATTGCTGCTCTCTACAAGCTGATATGGTCCCTTAAAAATGATATACAGATGGGCTTTAAATAAATGTAGAGAGGTTTGAAATAGGCAATACAAAGAACTTACTTGCTCAAACATTAAGAAAGTTGATTGGTCTGTGCTCTGGGTAAACATATTGTTAGTGGTATAATAAAAAAAGACATGGGGAAATCTTTATTTGACGTTTTGTATTAAACTATGATGGTAAAGGTGAAACATTAATGCCTCAGATATCTAACTTTTACTAACATTACACCTACATATACACAAGGCTGAGCCATGTTGGTCCGGTGACTTGCTTTATCCACGTGCCCATCATTTTACAAATGATAAAGGAATAAGAAGGAGATCAGGGTTGCATCTCATAAATAAGGTATTAATGAGCTCCATGATTACCTCCCAATAAAAAAGTGGTATTAATTGTTCAGTTAATGGATGAGAATGAAATATGTACTATGTAGCGCAGGTTTGCAATAAAACAGCATATGGTAGGCAGAGGTAGAATTTTATGAATCCAGAAATTGGGTCAGATTAGTATTAGAAGATTAGTCTACAGCCAGCGGCTCTGTGAGGATACTTTAAGATCAGTTCTCTAAAGCTAAATGCTAATGTCAGCATGCTAACATGCTCATCACTACAGTGTTACTAAATGGACCATTGAATTTATCCTGAAAGGGGACATGAATGTCTGCATGGATGCAAACCATCCAATAGTTTTTGAGATATTTGGACCAAAGTGGTGGACCTGACTAACTGCCTGAAATTGCCATCCATAGAGCCACCATGTTAGTAAATTAAACACAAATTCTTACCTGCCATGGGAGTCTTAAAGAGGTTGAAGGTCTAACACTGTCCTCCGATTGAAGCGTTCACTTTCTGCTTAGAAGTTTAGTTTTAATTTCACTCCCTTCCTGAGCACAGAGATGATTTACTGCCACTGGACAATAGAATCTTACAAATATAGCACGTTTAAAGCTTTTCTTTTTCTCTTGTCCTGATTCTAAAATGTTACCCTACTGCAGCATATAAATAAACATCCTGGACTATGCAGTGAAATGAAATCAGTGCCCCCTGCTGTGGAAGGGAATGTGTCCTTGTATTGTGTGAGAGGGCGTGTCTGTCACTAGGAAAAACAAACCAGCAAAAAAGACAAAAGCTGTCCATTTTTCTCCCTCATAATTTTTATTTTTTTTTTAACATGCCTTCTTCTGCATTAATGGATGAAAAATTGGGTCTCAGTTTCCACATGTTTCCGTCCATCCAGTCCTGTTAGATCTTTAAGTGGGACTGGGTCAGAGAGCAATTGAAGAAATTGGTCCAGAGCTGTAACTCGATCTCACTAAACTGTACTCTCTTTGTAAACCAGTAGATTTAACAGGATTTTCATTCAAACAACTCTTGGGGGTGTGTTCAAGCATTGTGTGCTGGAATCCTTTTGTAGTCACTAAAATTGACTCTTTCCTCTCCCCTTTAACCTCATAACTGCCTCTTTTCTTTCTCCAACCATTGTCACTGCTGCTAATCCATCTTTTGTTTTACATTCTTGCTTCTCCTCTTCTCAACTTTCCACTCCTCTAAAGAAATGTGAGTTCAGAGCGAAGTGAGGCAAGGAGGAAGCTGAGGGAGTGCACGGGACTGGTCGATTCGCTCATGTACATCGTCCAATCCCAGATTGACTGTAAAGATGTTGACAATAAGGTAAGTGAACTCAACCGATTCTAAACATCAAATACTGTTCACAGGCGAAAGAGGAGTAAAACTGTATAGGGGAAAAGGTTGTATAAAGCCTTTTGTGGCTCCAGAAGTAGCTGACCAAATTCTGAGAAATATCCTCAAGTGATTTCACTTGAATCAGTGTGGGTTGGGGCTGAAGACTTTGTTGACGCACTTTTCATTAGTCGGAAATTCGCAGAAAAACAAACAGGGACAAAAGTATGAGGGTATTGTTGCAACATGGAGTTTTCTCATATAACGCAGCATTAGCTGCTCCCACTAGCTAACCCCTAACCCTAACCCTGTTACCTGACTGTATTCAGGACTGTGGGATGAAGTACCAGGGGAGGTTTGTTCACACCACTAGCATACGAGCAGCATAGCCAGAGAGGGGTAACTTAGCCGGGCTTAACAGCAGTTAATGTTGTTTTACCTTTAGCCTGAAAAACAACACTGGAGTAATCCAGGTACTGCTGTAATCAACCATGAAACCACTTTATGCTAGCTCGGGTCAGGGAGCACAACAGGAAGACACATCAGGACAACACTGTGACATTGAACTAACATTCAAAAATGTCAGTTTCCTTGCTGATTGTTCTCACAGATTCAGAATTATTACAACATTTGCTGTTGTTATCATTTAAGAGGTGGCTGTTAACTAGGAAAATCTTAAGTCGGTGACAGCCTTAGAGCTTGAGGCAAAGGGTAAACTAAACTGGTGGAGTACTCTTTTTAAACCAAATGTAATGAAATAGTTGAAACCAGAGTGTATGATGCACTGTGGGTAGTGGATGTGATGTACTTACAATGAGAAATTGTCTTTTGCCCAACCCCCACCGCTTTCCCTCCATCTCTGCAGTTGATAGAGAACAGCGTGTGTCTGCTGAGGAACTTGTCCTATCAGGTGCATCGTGAAATCCCCGGCTATGAGCGCTACCAGGAGGCCGCGCCCCTCAACCAGGGCCCAGCCCCCTCCAGCCAGAAGGGCGGCTGCTTCAGCTCCCGCAAGAGCAAAGGTCGGTGTCAGGGAGAGAGAGAGAGAGAGCGAAAGAGAGAGCGAAAGAAAAAAAAGACAGGAAGAGACAACAGAGAGGAAGGACAGACAGAGGAAGAGAGAGAGACAGACAGACGTGTACTGTATTCGTTCAGTCAGTAGGAGGAACAGTTGCGGTGATGTCACCGTTAAGAGCAGTGTCTTACTGGACTGATACTAACTCTCACACACACACACACAAGAGCAGCCCAGCGAGAGAGGGATGAGCTTTTCTCGCAGCTGTGGAAATTGCTAACCATTCCTGTTGCGAGTGGGAGTGGTTTTTGGTTTGTGCAAGTGGTGTGGGTGTGTGTGTGTGTGGTGTGGTGTGTGGTGTGTGGGTGTTGTGGAAGGAGTTAGGTATCAGTCCAGTAACGAGCACTGCTCTTAACGGGTGACATCACCGCAACTGTTCCGCTCCTTTACTGAGCTGACAATACAGTCCACGTCTGTTCTGTCTCTCTCCCTCTGTCTGTCTTCTCTCTCTGTCTGCTCTCTCGCTGTCTGTCTCTGCTCCTCGTTGGTCTCTCTCTCCTCTCTTCTTTCAGCCTGCTCTTTCTGCTCTCTCGTATCTCGTTGCTCCCGCCTGGACACGCGACCTTTGCTCTTGCGGGAGCTGAAGCAGCCGCCGCTTCTGGCGTGGAGGGCGGTGGGCCCTGTGGAGGGCGCCGCCTGCCTCGGTAGGCGTCATAGCGGGGATTCACGGATGCACGCGATAGGGAGCAAGTCCTCAGCAGACACACGCTGTCTTGATCAAACTGCAGATATGAGAAGCGGTGGGGGTTGGGCAAAAGACAATTCTCATTGTAAGTACATGCACATCCAGCTACCCAGGCAGTGGCATCGATACCATCTGGTGGTTAAGCTATTTCAGGTTACATTTGGTTTTTACAAAAGAGTAGTCCACCAGTTAGTTTTACCTTTGGCGCTCGAAGCTCGTAAGGCGTGTCGAGCCGACTTAAGGAGTTCCTATTAACAGCCACCTCTGTAAAATGAGTAAAAGCAAATGGTGTGAAGAGATTCTGAATCTGTGAGGATGCAGATTGAACTAAGGGAGACACTGACATTGTTGGGAGATGGCTTAGGTTCAAATGTCACACGTGTTGTGCCGTGACTGTGTTCCTGTTGTGTGTCTCGCCTGACCCGGAGCTAGCTAAAGTGGTGTTCAATGGTTGATTACAATACCTGGAGTTGGATCGCAGTGTTGTTTTTCAGGGGCTAAGAGGAAGGTAAAACAAATTAACTGGCTGTGTAAGGGGCCGGCTAAGTTTACCCCTGCGTACTGGCTATGCTGCTCGTGATGCTAGTTGGTGTGAACCAGAACGCTCGCCGCTGGTACTGTTTCGATGTCCCCACAAGTCGCTGACATACAGTCATTTAACAGTGTGTAGGGTTAGTTAGCTAGTGGAGAGCTACGATGCTGGCTATAGACCCGAAAAATTGCACCTGTTTGCATAACAGAGTAGACCCTCAGTACTCTGTTGTCCCGTCTGTTTGTTTTTTCGCTGGCGAATTGTGCCGACTAATGAAACAGTGGTCGAAACAAACAGTCTGTCGCGAGGCGCGCCCCGATACCGCCACACTGATTCAAGTGGAAAACACTGGAGGATTATTTCTCAGAATTTGGGTTTCGAGCTGAGCTTCCTGGACCAGGCGAAAAGTCGTTTATACGAACGCTTTTCCCCGTATACAGTTGTTACTCCTCTTTGCGCCTGTAGAACAGTATTTGGAGCGTGTTTAGCGAATCGGTTGAGTGTGCACTTAGCCTTATTGGAACATCTTTAGCAATGCCAATCTGGGACTTGGACGCATGGTACATGACAATCGACCATGTCGGCCGGTGCGACTCCCTCAGGCTTCCTTCCTTGCTGCGACGTTGCGTGGAGCTCTTTTCTGAACTCCACATTTCTTTAGAGGAGTGGAAAGTTGGAAAGAGGAGAAGCAGAGATATGTAAACGAAGTAAATGGATTAGCAGCGAGGTGACAATGGTTGGAGAAAGAAAAGAGGGCACGTTGATGAGGTTAAAGGGAAGAGGAAAGAGTCAATTTTATTGACCTACAAAAGGCAGGTGTCCAGCACCACCAATGCCTGTTGAAACACCCCCAAGAGTTGTTTGGAAATGGAGAAATCCTGTCTAAATCTACTGGTTTATGACAAAGAGAGATACAGTTTTAGTGAAGAATAGAGTTCACAGCTCTGGACCAATTCTTCATTGTCCTGCTGACCCAGTCCATTAGAAGATCGTAAACAGGAGCTGGATGGGACGGAAACATGTGGAAAACTGAGACCCATATGGTTTTCATCCATTTAATGCAGAAGAAGGCATGTTAAAGAAAAACAAAATAAAAATTATGAGGGAGAAGAAGGGAGTGGACAGCTTTTGTCTTTTTTGCTGGTTTGTTTTCCTAGTGACAGGACACGCCCTCTCCACACGAATATAATATTGTGATTTCATCATCCTCTTTCCACAGCAGGCACTGATTTCATTTTCACTGCATAGTCCCAGGATGTTGGTATTTATTTGCTGCAGTTAGGGGTAACAATGTTTAGAATGGCAGGACAAGAGAAAGAATAAGGGCTTTAAAGACGTGCTATAGTTTGTAAGATGTCTGATTGTCCAGTGGCAGTAAATCATCTCTGTGCTTCAGGAAGGGAGTGAATTTAAGCTGAAATTTCTTATATATATATATATTTCTTGTATTACGTGAACGCTTCAATCGGGGAGGGACAGTGTGTAGACCTTGTAGTGCGTCTCTGTGTGAAGACTCTCTTTTAATGTTATATATGTATATTGGTGTTTA